GGCGGCTCCACATAAAAGCGTAAGAATCCCCTGCTGCTACCAGGTCTCTCTCCCGTAAGCTTTGGTGTGTTCAAAAATCCAAGGCGCTGCTGCCTTATAAATAATAATTCCAGAAGTTTATTAAATTGCAGTTAGAGCTAATAAAAAAAGTTTGCAGAAGTATCAGCAAATTTGAAAAATTTGTCATTCCATTTTTTTCTCCCATGATGATTTTTTTTGTGTGAATGTGCCATGGAATCCATTGAAATGAATGAATTTAAATGATTTCTAGACCTTGAGAAATGATTTTTTAAAATAATTTTGGAAAGTGTTTTATTTTCAGAGAGAAGTCAAATTTTGCAATTTGTGGGAGAAAAAGAATGAAAATGAAAAAAAAAAAAGAAGTTCACAGAGCCACCAATGCACTCAATAGTTTTGCTTAGTATTCCATGTAAAAAATTCCAAAAAATATTCCTTTTTTTTTTTTAAGGCCAAGCTTCATGCTAGAACTGGTTTGTCATTTTGGGAAAATATCTAAACTAATTATATTTCTTGTCCCCATTGAAAAAATATTCTCCTAATTAAAAAAGAATATTGAAAGAAAAAAATCACAAACTGAATATTAATAAGAATAGTTTCAGATTAGTTAAGATTAAATGAGAGTTGGAAGACATGGAACTGAGAAAAATGAAATGATGGTTTACATAGTGCTGAGGGAAAACAATTTATGCCTAACAAATCCTGCCGTGCTTCCATGGGGATTGGAAAACACTCGTTATTAATGAAACTGAGGTTCCAAGACCCAAAGTCAAGACATTCATTGATAATGTCCCCAAGAACAATGTCGAATCCACACTGCAAATATTGGCTCCCATTCTGCTCCCATTTACACCAATGGAAACATGAAATGGTTCCTTTGAAGGGTTACTCCAGATTTATGCCAGCGTGTAAATGGGAGCAAGATTTGGCCCATCCTGCATAATAAAGTAAATAACAAATATAATCATTAAAAACGCTTTGGTCTGGAAGAAAAGTACGTTCCCTCTGGAAATCTTAACTTGGAATTTTCTGGGTCTGATGCTCAGTCACACTAAGGGCCCACCATGTAAAGGACCTAGAAATGGGTGCAAATTACAGTTTCACCCAATGCCGATTAGAATTAAGGCCCATTATTCCAATATTTAAATACCCAGCTGCAGCTGGCCTATAGAAAACCTTTAAGGAGCACTGGGCTGGCACCCAGGAGACTTGAGTTCTATTCCTGACTGGGTCACCGTGGGCAAGTCATTACACCACTCTGTGCCTCAGTTTCCCCATCTGCAAGATCGAGAGAAGGCTGTTTTAGCTTCTTTGTTAATTGTTTTGAGAGCTACTGATAAAAAGGGATATACGAGCGCTAGGGATTATTATTTTAAATCCAGCTATGGCACAATTCCAAGAGAGCGACATGGGATCTGAATACAGGTGTCCCTTCTCACCCAAGAACGGTCGCGTCATGTCAGGTTTGTGGGAGGCTCATAGCGCCTGTTCCATACCAGTTCAGTGGATAAACAGAGCCCTCCTTCTCCAGGGCTGTCTACCCAGCGCCTCTGAGCAGCTTCAAATTCACCTGAAACCAGGCTAAGAATGGTCTTGTTTTAGCCCATGTTTCACTGATGAGCTCAGGAAACAGTTAACCCTTCACTCCCCTGCTTTTTGTATTTTTGAATCCCCAGATTGTAAAGAAATGGAAGTGGCTGCAATTGCAGGGGAATCCGTCCAGTTACAGCCAGTGAAATTGCCGGAGCCTTGGACAGAAATGACCTGGGAGGTCACACTAGACTCAGCAGAGATGTATCGGATCGTAACATTTAATAAAGGGGATCCCCCTGACCTTGGGTCATCCCCATATTTTATCAACAGAGTCACTTTCCACCCTGAGAATCTCTCACTGCAGATTGATCCCGTTAAGAAGTCAGACAGTGGCCTCTATACCTTGCCAATTGACATTGGAGGAGGCCGTGAAGACATCACAAAGTTCCGTGTCTCTGTGTTTGGTGAGTAGCAAAGATCACGTTTTTCCCTAGTGTGTGTCACTGACGGCAGCCTCTCTCCTCAGCCTCTCTCACCAGGATCTCTCCTTTCAGAGCGAGTCCGGCAGCCAAACCTCATGGTGCTCCCTGCCCACGCGGAGCTCGGCCAGTGCAACGTTACCCTGTCCTGCTCCGTGCCTGGCGCTGACAGAGTCACCTACGGCTGGTCCCGAGGCACGTCCCGGATCCCATCTGACCGGGACCATCAGCTCCATGGGCACCAATCCCTGCTGCACGTAGTGATTAATGCAAACAGCAGTGACGTCTTCTACCGATGTAACGCTAGTAACCGAGCCAGCTGGGGCGCAGACACTGTAGACGGCAAATCATTGTGCGACTCCCCAGCCACAGGTAAATAGTCCTCAGTATAAGCAAGATGGGAGCCTGATTGTCATTAACACTGGGGCCACTTTGTTCTCCTCTAGCAGCATAAGAGGGCCTTACAGTGGCAGTCCGTTCTGTGTCCAGTCGTTATGTATTTCATAATATATGTCACTCATATTTTTTCCTGAGTAAAGTAGGAGGAAGAGGCTCTGGATTCAGCCTGTAGATTTCTGCATTCGTCAGATCTAGAATTTACCCCAGGGTCTGACACAGCCCCTGATGGGGTCTCCTGCTTCCAGTGAGATCCTCTGAGCGTCCCCCCACCCTGTCACCTTCTCAGCCTGTTTCAACCGAGGAAACTTACGATTCCTTCGTGAGCGGAAGGCTGGTTCAGTGGTTAGGGTACTGGGCTTTGGGAAACCTGCGTTTGCTTCCCTGCTCTTACTCGCTATGTTCTCCTGGGCAAGTCCCTTAGGCCCAGATCCACAAATGTATTTAGACTCCTAACTCCCACTGGATGTGAGGAACCTCAATACCTTTGCGGGTCTGGGCCTTAATCTCTCAGTGCCTCAGTTCCCTAGCTGTAAAATGGAGACGGGGGGTTATTTTTGCATGGCCATGGGGCCTGGGAGCCCCAGTCTGGATCAAGAGCCCCCGGTGCTAGGCGCTGTAAAGACCCAGGACAAGTGACACCGTCCCGGGGGTGCTGGGAGGATGGAGACATTGATGACAGTAAGGTGCGGATACTACAGAGACGGGGGCCAGAGAACTCTGGCTAGGGCTGCAGTTTTCTCGCGGCAGGGTATCGACACATCACCGCGCAGTCTTGGTCAGTTTAGTACAAATCACGGGTTTGGAGGAAATGGTGAGTAAAGTCTCCCCACCCCAAATTCAGAGGGGGTCCCCCAAAATCAGAGACCCAGCGTCTTTGTCCTTCCCTTCCTCTTTCGCAGCTACGTCATGCTCACCCCACCAAGCGGCCCAGTGCCCCCCCGCAGCAGCACCCTCTGGCCGGGGGGAATGGGAGAGTGAGCCTGCCCCACACGCACCCCACAGAGGCAGCTCCTGACCTGCGGGGCTGGGTCCAGCTTCCTGTTCTGGGCCTTGGAGCTGGTTGGATATTTCCCATCAGAATGGGTTCCGGTTTGGTTTGGATTCTTTTAATATAGAAACTTTTGTGACCTTCCCCTGGTGTTATCTGGACTGGTGATCTGCTGGGTCACTCCAATCCTCGACTCTGGGAGCCAGCCTTACCCTGCTCTGCTGAGAGAACCCCCACTCCTGGGCCGTTCACGCACAGCTTCTGGCATGTCAGCTGCTCCTAGGATTGTGCAACCGAATGACACAACTGGGGAAAAACAACTGAGGAGAGTTGGCAGTTTTTCAAAGGGACAC